CACACACACACACACACACACAAAAAGAGAACATTACCTGGAAATAGATGTCCCTCAGGCACAATAATTATAAACAAGTAAAGAATTAGAGAGAGCATGAGGCTAGATATGGCATTGCAAGCAATTACAAGTCTTGGGTGTGAAAGAACATAAGCCAAAGGGCCTGTTTGGTATGTTGCAATTGATTGTGTAGCAACAGGGAGTTAGAATACAGTAGTTTTTGCCTCCTCCACTTCCACAACACGTGCATGCAGAACAAACCGCAAAGCTGCTCAATTTCCTTCTGCTCTCGTCCACCATTACCATCGTCTTCACACTTCCAAGTTCCACTACCGGTAACATACCCGACCCGTTTCCCTACAATAAGATAAAGAAACCATTTTCACACGAACCCATGTAATGAATGTCATCAAGACCCCTTTTTGTCCCATCAAATCAGGCTAATTGTCAATGACAAGTGGGATCTGTAGAAAGACACTAACCATAGATGAACCAACTTCATGGAGGCTAACAAAGCTAAGTAACAAAACGAACACGGGCCCAAAAACCCCGATTGCACGCATCTCCTTTAGCCACGAGATTCTTGAGCAAGGAAAATTAATGAAAAATGGTGGATGTAAAAATTGGATCTTTGTCTATCTAACTACCTATAACCTATCCCACATAATTTAAGTGATTTTGGATTAAAAGTTGGGAGATCGACAATTAAGAAGCAGTTTATTTCTGTAAAACTAATTCTGCATTTTCTTTTTTCTCTTTCTATGGAATAGAAGAATGAAGATGGAAAAAATCACAACTTGAATGGGTATATAGGCAGTGGAGGCCAACCCTGAGGGAACAAGTCTATCTCTCTCTCTCTCTCTCTCTCTCTCTCTCTCTCTCTCTCTCTCTCTCTCTCACACACACACACACACACACACACAAAGAGTAGTAGTGAGAGTTACAGCAAAGAGCTGGCAATTTAATTTTCTTTTAAAACAAAAGAAATATATGGTGCAAAGTGTGAACAGATGAGGCCAAAGGAAAATCAAATCGTAGTTAGATTTTAAAATGAATATTGTGGAGGGTGGGTCCAAAAATAAGGGAAAATTAGAGTATTATTGTATGACAAATGTTCCAGCAGCATTTTGTTGACCACTAGATCTTGGTCGGACTTCACTCCCAACACAACTAATAATTTACAATAGTGCCTTAAACAATTTGTGTATTCAGTAATTATTTTGTTATTAATTAATTTATACAGATGAATCACACTTACTTAAATTATGACTTATCTTATTACATTTTCATTGTTTGTTTTCTATTTTTTGTTATTATGAAATTTACATTAAACATTTGTAAGAAAATAATTATTAGATATTTCGAGTTCATTCAATGTTATGATAATTTTTAGAATCAACCATCAAGTCTATTATATGCAAGTATATGTATAATATTTCTATAAAAATAATTTTTTATACTCAAATAGCTTATGCAACGCTATGCGATGGAGACGAGACCGCAATAGCGTTCTTAAATAAATATGACCGTCTTCGTATTTAGTTAGTTTATTTCTCTTTAGTTGTCTTTATTTATTGTTGGGCTCTTTTTATTATTATTATTAGTGTTGGGCTTTTTTTGTTATTTATGGAACTTTTAAGATTAGGGATTTATCTGATGTATTAAAACCATCGTCTTCTCTCTTTTGGGGACAGACTTTGATGAATAAAAATTGAGATTTCTCGTAAGAATTGTGTGTGTTCTTCCCTATTCATACTACGCTCTACATCACTATGTATGCTACTCAGTATAAAGATCAAAAAGCGACGCATTTGGCTGATCGTTACACAAGCAAATATAAAAGTTAACTTTTATCAGTTTAATCAATTTGTAGGGGTGGGCTTGATAAGTGGTTTAGCATGAAAAAGAAGCAACGACACACAATAATCAGAAAAAATGATAGTGGAAGAAGAAAAAATAAAATTTTTCCTCATTGGATGTAACCCAATCTTGTTGATGCATTCTCTTCCTCAAACAATTCAGTGACAATATTTGTCAATGCATACGATTGTTATTCATCAATGATGTCTTAAATGGATCTTTCAAGACATGAAAAGGATACCATAAAGATTCTCATTTGCGATGATATTTGACCGGCTCCAGACAGCTAAAGATGTAGTCTTTCTTACATATATCTTCACACACATACGTCAAAGCTTTATCTGTAATATGGGAAACAGCTCATGCAAATCATCATATGTCTTTAAAGGCGGGAGCAATTTATACAAAAATTTGGAAAATCATGTGAACAAATATATAAGTAGAGTATAAATCGGGTTGTTTTGGGAGAAAAACATTAGCCTGCGGAACTTCAGAGTAAGACAGAGTTCCCACCAGATAATTTTTTGAACCAACAAACGAAGAGACATCGCAAAACAGCTAGTCATCTCATCAGATCCACACAGAGTCCAAGCCTGAAATCACGTTTAAGTTGATATATTACAAGAGCACAAGTTCACCCGATAAACAAATATCAACACGATACAATTACGATTGATTTTGAATATTCCACGAAAAGTAATACCTGCTTATAGTCTGTTTTTCTTCTCCTTGAAATCTTTTGGACACAAAGGTATTTTCTGTCTAGCCTTCTCACCATCCACTTACATTCATGTCCTTATAAATACCATTTAAAATACCATCCTCACTTCCAGATACTTTGCTCTTTCCTGAAATCATTAAAATATTCATAATACAAAACAAGGATAGGATTCATATCCCTTTCAGGTTTCAGGGATCAGTAGAATAGAAAATATACACTCAGAGCAAAGATGCTCCACAAAATAACAACCAGACTACAAGTACAGCAACATTAAATTAGAAAAAGTGCAGCATCAAATATTGGGGTGTTTTGTATCGAAAGGAATGCCCATTCTCATAATCCTAATCACATCTATCTAACTTACAGGATATTAGTGAATATAAACTTGGTGACACAAACTTTTGGCAGATTCAACAGTGAAAGCAACCTGAGATAAGGTCATCGATGGTAGATCCTATACAAGAGAGCTATGGCCTCTGAGCTTCAAGAACATAAGAAAACAACTAATTATAAATTGAAAAATTAACTTGTATCAATTTGGCAAACAGCATGCTGGTTCTACTAGAAATCCAATCAGGAAACATGCTGGTTCACACCATATACATTTTTCTGAGAGTTAAGCCAAAAGAGTTTTCTTTCTAGAGAGATCATATAATCCAACATCTGGAACAGGTTTAATTGGACGCACAGGCTTTTATCATATTACATATGATACAAGACTCATGAGCCTTCACTGAAAATTCAAATGTAAAAACATGAGTAAGATCCATAGGTAGCTATGAAATTGTGTAATGTCTAATTGTTGATTCAGTACTTTTTTCTTCTTAAAATCTTCTTCATCAAGAAGCAGCGAAAGAAGCTAATAGATTAGATACATGAATAAATTTATCATGGCTCCCTTAAGATTTCTAACATCAAAAGTTACTCGACTAACAGGTGCAACTGATAGCTAAAAACAATTTTACTTTTGACTTGAAAATCGGAGGGCTTAATTGAGCATTGGCAGTTACTGAAGAAACTCCCTCTGCATCCCTAATACCAAAACTAAAGTAAAACGCATTAGCTATGAGGAAAAAATCACTTACCTTGGTGTAATGAGTCCAACAAGAGAGCTAATAGATCTCGATAATCCTGTTAATGACCTTAAATTAACAAGGAAAATAACATGTTATTATACACAACTATGAGTTCATACATAATCATTAGGCCTTAAAGGAGAAACAGCCCTGTCGTATTTCCAGTGCCCAATGCTGAGCCACATGAGCCTGCTGCGAAAGGAAATATCCAGAAGAATGTCAAAGTGATACAAAGATGATAGGAAGATGGCTTGTACATCCACTGCTGCCTTTAACAAGTGTGACAACATTTGAAAATTGATACAACTCAGCAAGTTTAAGGAAGCCAATCTAGAACGTTCAGAAGAATGGATTGACAGCGTATTGAATACTGTACATGTCCAGCAACGGAAATGAATTTACACGAAGCTGTCATTTATTTGCCGCGCATCTAAAAGATTGGAGAAGGCGATAACTTAGTTGGGTTTGTGTATATATATTATCACTCTGAGTCAATGTTATTGTCACCCGAGGATTTCTGTCTAGTAGGCTCAGACAAAGATAATCGTCTGTTGTTTGAGGAGCCAGCTTCTGCAAGCCCATCTGCTGAGAAACTTAGTGCCACATTTCCTGATGATGATGACGCCAAGAAATGTCGAACAGCTGGGGAGTTAGTCGATGATGATGATGCAGCCGCATTGTACGAGAAAACCCTCATAGGGTGGTCAAATTTGCAGCTTGGACCAAACTTGCAGATTCCATACCGGGAATAGAATACACATAGCGGCTCTCCCTAATGCCAACAAACCACAAAAGAAAGGTATAAGAAACTAAGTTTGGGTTACACCTAGCAATTCATTCCATCCTCTGCCACAAATATGAAGCAACTGAGAGCATTAAGACAAGTTGTATGCAATTCTTACTGAGAGACTCATAAACACAGTATGCAAATCTTACTGAGAGACTCATAAACACACTCTAATACTCAATCCATCTCCAGAAACATGGGCCATGTTACTATGGGTGAACCAAGCGGATAGGCATGTTACCTTTCAAAATGAATATTAATTTCTTTGTATTCGTTGGTTAAAGGGGGCACCATTACTTTTTTACTTAACCAACAAAAACGATGGTGTTCTCTTAAGCTGTTTGGAAATTCTCATAAGCCTATTTCTGTAGGATGGAGGGATTAACTGATCTCAGAAGAAACAAACTGAAATCCTAAAGAGGCGCAAAATAACCAAACTGAAATAAATGTGATGATGATGATGATGATGATGATGATGATAATAATAATTGTTATCGTAAATATGGTATAGATTAGATTATATCAATTAGGTGATATGGTGAATCCCTTAGATTAGGTGTTTTGATTTCTTTCCTTTCTTACATCTCCTTTGGCTTGTAT